TCAATAAATGGAAAGATACCCACCTTTCCATCCCATATAACATCCCCATTTTCAGAAAGTATCGGTCTACCAACAGCACACAAGAACATAACTTTAGTAATGAATCGCTTTGACTTGCATGTCCGGTGTGGGTCTAACTCATCCAATTCCAAGTAGAACTTTTGCGAGGTCTTAGACATAAAGAACCACTTTTCATCAATGTGCACCACATTACGAAAAGATTTAAACGTAGGGTTAGAAGGTATACTATTGGGGTCTACTTGGTCTAAACAAAACTTCAGCCTTTGCATTTTGTTTGTTTCACTTAAAAAGGGCTTAACAGCATTTGAATGACTTCTAAACATACCTCTTTTAAGGCATAGATGAATGGTGGACTTAGACATACCCAATGCAGAAGCTAATGCTCTAATGGTAGTTCTTTTGCGCAATGGGATCTGTTGAATAGCTCCCCCCTCAATAACCACCCTTTTCCTGCCCGCTTTGCTTGCTAACTTGTTTCTAACATCAATGGCAACCCCATCTTTAAGTTGTTTCCTTGTTGTGCTCCATATACTACTCACTGTTCTTCTTGAGACGTTATAATCTGTAGCTAACTTGTTGATTATGCCTCTCTGAACTGTGTACTCTCCAGTGAATATTTGCTTTGAATGCTTCAGGAGTTCATCAATTATTTGTTGCTTGGTAGTGTTAGAGAGCCTTTTGTACTTTGATTGGAGGTCTGGTGGTAACCCTTCTGCTTCTGCTTGCAGGTATGTATAAGGGGGAGAAGTTGTAGGCATGCTTGGAGACAAAAAGGGTGCTGAAAGTATCAGTAAAAGAAAATAAAGATTGAGAAAAGATTTTAGAAGGGCTACTGAAAGTAGCAGTAGAAGAAAAAAGGAGGGCAGTGGGTTCTAAGAATGGAAAATTTCTTCTATTTATAGATGTTGATTGGCGGCACTTTTTAGAATTTGGTGGAAATTTTTTAGAGGGAAGTGTAAATAATTGCTCCTTTGGTTAGAAAAATATTGGAGGGAACTGTAAAAAAATCTCCTTATGGTGTAATGATTAATGAATAGTCATTTTCTCTCATCCTTACAATATAATTGTACTCTTTTAGCTTTTTTAAATTGTCTACAGTTGTTAAATCATTTCCTACCCTATAATTTGTAATGGAGGGGCATTTATGGAAAGTCAATTCACATTTTACTCCCCCTTAAAAATGAGCCTTGGTCAAAACGAGAAATTAATAATAGGACGGAGGGAGTATTTCAATAAATGATTAGTCAAATGAGTAATTTCTTTTGGCTGGTTAAAAGTAAATGTGATTTTAATTAGGCTTGGACAAATAAGGATTCGAGCCGAATGGGTGGGCCTGGCTCGGCCCGGATTTGATTGCTTAAACTCTTTACCCATAACTTTAGTTGGCCAAACTACCCACCAGGCCGCCCGACTCGGACAAAACATCAAGAAAATCTTTTTTGCATAAAAATTAAAAAAAATTGAAATCTTTTTTCAATGTTTAAAATAAAATTATAAGTCATCACATTTTTATAGAAAGCATGATAGATGTATTATTGCATAATAAATAAACACATCATATTAATTCTTTAAAAGAAAATTAATTTTTGTTTGAGAGAGGTAAGTGAATTGAACTATTATACATTAATTATAGAAATTTTAAAATTTATATTTGCTAGGTAATTAATAATGAAGTAAATGTATTTGATGAATATGGGCGAACCTATTGGTCCGGATGGACTGAAAGTAACTTCTAGATCTGCCCAAAATACAATCCGCACTTGGGTCGGCCCGCCCATGTGGGTATTAAAAGTTGTCCATATCCGTATTTTTAAAGGGCGGGCTGGGTTGACGAGACATTTAATTTATATGATGAGATAAGATTAATCATTGAAAAGTTGTGATATAACGTTATGGATGCAATTGTGGTTTCAGAAAATCGAGTCGGGAAAAAGGATTACACACCTAAAATTAACTTTGGTGCCACCTGATTCGGGACTACAATTCTCAATAATTTTATATTTTGAACGACTATTTAAAAAATTCAAGACCAAACATTGTCATTTGTTAAATTATTTCTAACCAAATTCATGTTCACTCATAATCAACGTTATGCTACTATTTCACGGGTGAAAATATAGAGAGAGTTAAAAATATTAGTTTTAGATGATAATAAAAATCTTTGCAATCACACACAAAAATATTGTATACCATAAAGTTTTTTAAATATAAATTTTAAAAAACTCGTTGAGGTGTTTACTTTTGAATCTATATATAATATTTTTCATAATCAAATACTATTAAATGCCAAATAAGTTATTTTGTTATGATTATTTTTTCAACAGTGTTAAAGAATATATTATACGGAGTATGTATTTTTCTAAATTAATTTAAAATATTATATTAAGATAATTTATAAAATCATCAAAAATTTCATTCAATTTCGTGCTTAGAACGAGATAGAATACTAGTTTCTTTTATGAAAAAAGAGGTTGAAATATTGAAAGAAATTGGGAGCCAAAGCTTATCATATCTCCCTCCCCTCCCCTCCTCTCCTCTCCTCTCCTCTCCATCTGATTCTGCGGTCTCTTTCTCTTTTCTATCTTCTCCAAATCTCACCGAAAATGGCTTCCACTCTATCCACAGCTACCCTGCGTTCTCCTTCTCATCCCAGTCCTTCTGCATTAAATTCATTGCTTTCTGGCCCCTCCTTTCCCAAACAATCACTGAAATTCCCCCCCCGGCCCCCGAGACTCAACCGCCGAGCGACACTCCTCCGCCCTCTCGCCGCCGTAGACGCGCCCGAGAAGGTGGTGCAGCTCGGGAACGAAATCTCGAACCTCACTCTCTCTGACGCCCAGAAACTCGTCGAGTACCTTCAGGACAAGCTCGGAGTGTCTGCCGCGATGATGGCTCCAGCCGCCGCCGTCGCTGCTCCGGGAGGTCCCAGCGCCGCCGAGGCCGCCCCTGTCGTGGAGGAGAAGACGGAGTTTGACGTGGTGATTGAAGAAGTGCCCAGCAATGCGAGGATTCCGACTATCAAAGCAGTTAGGGCTTTGACGAACCTGGCTCTGAAAGAGGCCAAGGAATTGATCGAAGGGTTGCCGAAGAAATTCAAGGAGGGAGTGTCTAAAGAAGACGCTGAAGAAGCCAAGAAACAACTCGAAGCAGCCGGAGCTAAAGTATCAATTTCTTGAAATCCTCCATTGAAAGCAAAGGCAATGTTCTATCTCCCTCTTCTCTTTGTTTATTTTTGAACAATTCAAATTTACTTGTACTCGTTTGCTGCTAGTACTAGACTTGTTGGATTCACATGCTATGTGTTTTGAGGCATGGAAAGTTTCCCAATCTCTCATTCTCAATTGTACCATTTAATTAAATCTCAACCACAAAGATAGTGTGGAAGAAGAAGAAGAAGATGATGATGATGGTGAAACTGTTAAGTAAATATATCTTGTGGTTGGAATGTGCTGTGTACTTGTGTTTATTGGTTTTGTCACTTTGTATAAGGAGAATCTTTTCTGCAATTCTCTTACTTTGTGTGAGGGTAGATGGCCTATCCAAGAGAAGTTTTAAGGGAGAAAAGAGTGTTGAGAGCCTAGCTTTAGAATGGAAGTGCCCCTGCATTCATTTTTTGGCTTAAATAAACAAAAATATGTCGAAGTGCCCCTACCGGTTACCTCTAGTTTGACACATCCTATTTTTTCATGCAAATATGTGCTCATATTTATGTTTATTTTGTGAGCTCATGTTTGCGTGAACAACGAAGAGATGGAAGCTTAGGGTTACCCCTTAATAAACATGAAGAAACTTATACTCCATTACTTTACTAACATAGGCCACCAATAGCACTATTAAGGATGATGATGTAAATGCTAGTCCTCTGTCCCATTATGGTTGCCTTGTTCGTTTACAATGTTTAATTGGAATCATTTTAAATTTATTTATATATTGGCTCAAAGTTAAAACAAGTTGCAATCTGCAACAAAGTACTTGTTCCATTGCAATTTTGTGACTAAAATTATGTTGGCTTTCTCATTGCGTTGGAGATGGATTTCAAATTGTAAATGTTGTGCATGAAAAGTCCCTGAAGTATAAGGCTTTAAGTCTACGCTGCCTCCACACCTTTTTTCCGACCATAGACCCTTGTTTCGGCCATTTTGGCATCACTTTGTTGTGAAGGCATCCAAGAGTATAGAGATGTTGAAGTCTTTGTGGATGCAAACAGTAGTAATACCACCACCACCACCAACAACAACAATAGCTTGGTTGAATCCCGCAACAGCGGAGTCAAATTGTAGTTATACCACCATTGAATGCAAACATATTTCAACGTGTTAGAATATTCACTGCCAAAATACCACTCATTGCCGGTCACACCACTGAAGACGAAGATGAGGGCTCAAAATTATTCAACCTTTGAGCCTTTTAACGTGGATGAAGGTGAGGCCTGATGCTTTGTACCATGTTAGTGATGGTGATTTGATTGCTGATTTTGATGAAGCATTAGATCATCGCCCTGTTATAAGCTTTAGCACGGGCTGGTTTGGTTCTAGAACTAGATGTTCATAGCCACAAGGTGGGAGGAACCGTAACCGAAACTGGTAGGGAGGTTGTTTCTGGTTCGGTGCTACCAGCGGTTCCCGGTCCAATTTTGCTTTGGTGCTACCAGCATTTTTCAAGAAGAAAACTGTGCTGAAAATAAGATAAAAACAAAATTTTCAAGTTTCCTTTCCTGCCCTCCAACCAGAGAAGAGAAAGGGTGAAGGGAGAAAAGAGCACTGGGAGCCTAGCATTAGATTTTGAGTGCCCTTGCATTCCTCATTTGGCTTAAACAAGTGGACATTGCCATTTGTATGTGTACTCGTGGAAGATAAGTGGTGAGAAGTTAAGCTGAGGGAGTTTGGACAGGTAAGGAAGAGAAGTGTACATTGCTCCAGTGAAGAAATGCGAAAAACTTGCTATAGTAGGGTAGTAGGCTTGAGAAAGTGTAGAGATAGACTTGTGAAGAGTTGGAATGAGCTGATTAAATATGACTCAAGACTTCAAGATCTTAGTATCAAAGTAGTTGTGTAGGCCTTTGGACCTTAGTTTGTTGTTTATGCTAATGTGTTTTTCCCTTAGTCTATAGCCTGTGCATGTGCGCTTTCCATGCTCCGCGCTTAGTTGGTAGTGTCGACATGTGCACTTTTTGTTTGTTTTCTTACCCCTTACCCCGCAATGGGCGGGATCCTTTAAGGCACTGGGGTAATGTTGTAGTAGTAGTTGTTGTTCTTCACTTACTTTGTGCTTCTGCATTTGAATTGGAGGTCTATTGAAAACAAATTCTCTACTTCTGAATAGGGTAAAGTTTGCCTACGCGAACCTTTTCCAGACCCTACTTTTTTGTGGGATTTTACTTTTTTGTGGGATTTTACTGTGTTATTGTCGGCGTTTGTATGGGTCTTTTCGACGGGAAGAAAGAAACTCGGGGCAACTTGTGATTGTTGTGACCTTTTAATTCTCCATTGCTCTCTAGTAATCCTAGGCCACTAATAGCATTGTGAAGGATTAATAATCCACATACAGTTTCTGCTTTGTTTGGGTGTACTCTCTTTGGCTATACAGATAATCTGAGAATAGCCAATGGATTATTAGTGCCATGGATTTTGTTGTTGCTTCATAAAATAGAAGAATCTCTAGTGTAGTAAGATCATTCCATAGTCACTTCATAGATATGAATTTTTTTAGTGTCGAACGAAGAATCGTAGGATCCTCAGGTGAGCTAGTGTGATGTCAAAAGAATCTCCAATGTAGAAATATGGACATGGGACCGGTACCGCTGAAGTTTTGGAACCGCTGGTTCCCGACATTGTAGGAGGTGGCACCGACACTGGTGGCCGGCGGTGTTGGTTCAGTTCCCCGTATCGATTTTTGGTGTTTTCTTTTTATTTATTTATTTCTTAAAATTAATTTAATGTGGAGTATTGTATTTTGATTACAAAAGAACAAAGTGTAAAATTTTAAACTGAAGTAATCAAATTATTCAAAATTTCAATATTACAATGTTCTCTCTGTCTATATTTAATGTTACTCCAAATAATTTTGACCTTTTTCACATTTTAAAGAGAGTTTGACTGTGTGTGAATTTGTCCAAAATACCCTTACTAAATAAGTTGAAATATGTAGATTGTTGAAAAATTTTAACGAAAGGGAGGATATTTATGTCCAGACACATGTATTGAGAAATGAAAAGATTAAATCGTGACATAAAAGTAGAGAAATAACAGGATTAAATTCAAACGGAGAGAGTATTAAATTAGTCAAGCCTAATTTCTACGGAGTAGATCAGAAGTAAAAAAAAAGTAAAAATTGAATATAATTTTACACAAGTACTTACGGAGTAACATTTAATATTTTAATCGGACTATACTTCTGTGTCACCCTGTGATTGTGGCTTCAATTACGTGTTGTTCATTCATAGTGTAACCCCGCTTCTTGTTATGGGCGAGCAAATACCAAATTGATACCGAAAATTTCCGAAAAAATTGAGAAAATCAAACTGAAAAAATATCGCTAAAATGTTCCGAACCATGAATAGATGTTGGTGAGATTTCTACATTGAAAGACATTAAAGTCTAAAATTTCACCATACTCACAAGGAATCATTACTTACAAAAAAAATATTGTAAGTACACCCATCCAAAGCACGAATAATAATAATAATAATAATAATAATAATTAAAAAAAAAAAATCATATTTCCAAACAAGACTTTCGAATTTAAAGTGAGTATTTCTTGGATCCATGAAAAATGGAATGTTAGATTTTGAAAGACAAACAATTCCGGGTTAGTACTTTCGGGCTTTGGGCCTCCGTCCAATACCTCAGTTATAAACGGCCCATTATCATCCACACTCGCGGTATTTACCCTAGCCAATACCCCGACCACTACATAACCCCATCGGCCTCGTCCCATCTGCTTCATCTTCCTCCCTCCCTCAAACCCTTCTTCCCCTATCTGCAGATTTCTATTTCGCATTTCTGGTTCCCGATTTCTCATTCACTGTGCATTCGGTCTGCGGATCTCCATCGCAGATCGGCGTTTTTGAGCGATCGCGGCGAGGATGACGATGCTTATTATTTTTCTGACACCTCTTGTATGAGGGGAGCCGTCAAAAGCTCCTCGCTGAGCAGATTAAGCAATGATCTGAGCCTCTTCTCATCATCTCTCTGTTTCTGCTTATTTAATTTTTATTTTTTCAAAAAGTAAATATCTTCGATAATCAATTGTTATTATTGTTTTTATTATTATTTTCATTTTCATTATCGAGCAGAAATTCAGGCAACCTCTTTGCGAAAATAGAAACTGTAAAGGAAGGTGTTTATCTGCTCGTAGATCAATTGTTCTTTTGCTCTTCAGACTTGCTGAGATTTCTGGTCTTTGAAGCTGGTCTAGTAGGCATCAGTACATTATTTTTTTTATTAAAATCATTTTATGATTCATGAATTCTACAAATTTCCTCTGTTTTTCTGGTTCGTTTTAAATGCGTCTTCATTGAAGCGTGTAAAACTTTTTCACCATTTATATAAAATAACATTTATATGTATTTCAAAATTTCATCAAGAGTTTTTTCTACACCTAAAATTTAAGTTATTTTGGGATGGAAGGAGTAGAAATTAGTTAATGTTGCTTATAGATTGATTTACATGCGAAGTGGGAAATATTCAAACACGAAGTAATGAAGTCTATCCTTTTTTCTTGGAGTTTTCAGGATTGGAGTTTATCCTTTATGATTGACATTAGTTTTTTTAAGTAATGAAATTTATTTTTATTAATCAACCGAAAGATCAACAATAAAGGCATTTGTTTTGGGAAGAGTGTTTTCGATTAGTTTTAGCGTTTTGGATAAAATATTAACGGTGTAGATTATTTTGGAAAATACTAATGTTAAAGATTACCGTCATATATAGTTTTATCAAGAGTAAGAGTAATGTTAGAGTTATAAACCAACATTGTTCAAAATTTATAAATTTGCTTTTTTTAAATATTTTTCTAAAAATAAGAGCACTAAAATCATACTTCTTTCGTTTCAAATTATAATGCCCCTTTACTATTAAAAGTGTCAAACTTCATTTGCTTTCTTTCTCTATTTTCGTTATCAATTTGATAAAATAAAATGTTATTGTCATTACTAGTTTTGTAGATTTTTTAATGTAGTTTTTTAATATGTAATTTTTAGTTTTTTAATTTTATACCATTTGTCATATAAAATGGTTTGAAAATAATTTTAGTCAAACATCGTAAATCGAAACAGGCGTTATAAATTGGGACGGAGTTAGTAATAGGGATTCTAAATTGAAAAATCAAACTAAATTGAATTAAAACATCAAACACTTGCCAAAATTCTCCTTTTGTCAGGATTTAATCATTACGGAGTATTTGGTTTTAAATAATAATTTTATCATTAATGATGATATTTGGAGTATATTTTAAAAAGTTCAAAATATGATACATTTTTTTTGCATATCTAGATCAAAAATTACAAATTTTGACCTAGTAAAGTCTGATAGAAAAATTAAATCAAGATGTAGGGCTGAGTTGAGAAAGTCGAAAATCACGAATCGAACCAAACTCTATCGAAGAAACTAGCTAGGAAAAAAATCGAGCTAAACCGTTAGTGCTGGTCTATTTTGGTTTTCACTTTGAAAACTTGAATTAAATTGAATAATTGGTAACTCTAAAATGACACCAGTAATACTGGTATTCATTTGCTTACATTAGTTCATTTGGAGTACTTACGGTGCTTTGTTTTTAAAAACAGCGGTTCCTATTACAGCGAAATAACCGAGAGCGACTCTCTACTAACTAGACATATAAAAATAATAAAGGGCAGACCCCCCCTCCCAAGGAAGCCACTATACTTTGTGTATAAAAAAGACCGACCGGGGATTTTTAAGAGGTAAGTTTGGAGTAATGCTAGAGTCATAAACTAGAGTAATGCTACGTCCACTGTGACTTTTCTAGAATTAAGATGCATTCTATGTTTGTGATTTTCATATGTTTGAGAAAAAAAAGATATAGAATCTGTCGTAGTCTATAAAAAGGTATAATCACACCTTAGTGAAATTACTAATAATGTTATGTCTCGCCTAAAAAAGTGAAAAATAATCTATTAGAATTTTTTATTGAAAAAAATCATGTGGGTCATGTGTTCATTATGAAATAATCTACCTTTGTTTTGAATATCACCTGCGTAAGCATACTTTGCACAAATTGAACGTTAAATTTTTTTAAAATAAAATAATAAGTCATAAAATTAATGGTTACGGAGTATCTAATATATTTGTATGCCTTGTACGTCAAATGCTTTCTGTTTGTTGTACGCAGTACTATTCTTTTACTACCTCCGTCCCACTGTCTTTGTCCATTTTTTATTTTTGGAACTGTTCATTTAAGCACTTTGACTCATCAAATTCTCTCAGTGTGTAAGCCTAAATATAGTAATGTGTAATCTTGTTTGATTTGTCTTAACATATAGATTATTAATATATAATTTTTATAATTTTTTAATATACAAATTATAAGATAAGATGGACTAAAGAAGTGCATTGGATGATGTGCCAAAAGCTAAGTAGACAAAGACAGTGGGACGGAGGGAGTATTAGTTTTTGCTTGTTTTTTTCCTTCGTGAGCAATGTGTTTTATACTACGTATGTGCTATCTCTCCTTTATGCATCTCTTGTGGTTTTTTATTATCTATGCTGCTTGAGTTGAGATGTTTTGCAATAGTTTCTCTACTTTCAAGTAGAGCCAAGGCGTGCATACACACACCTTCTCCAAACATTACTCTCGTGGAATTCAAATGTCTTTTTGTTGGAGTATACTCCTTCCGTTCCACTTTCGATTATAATATTCCTTTTTTTACCAAATTATCCCCAAGTGGCCCACTCACATGGAAGAATAGTGTGTGAATAGTGTAGGAGTGGGAGGGTAAAAGAGTCAATTCCTTGTAAAGTTATTGATTTTGTAATTCTTTTTGGGACAAAAATGTGAGAGAATAAATATATTTATGAGTTTGCAAAATTATACGCGATACTAATTAAATATGTCAAAAGTATCATTTAAATAAAATCTTTTTATGAATATTGCTAGAAAAAATATTTTTGTAAAAAATATTACAAAGTACTCTAAAATGATTCAAAGTTTAAACTATGTTTGGTATAAGGAAATATTTGATTAACACATATGCTTTCTTCTTACTTTTTCATGAAAAATTTTAATGTTTCCCTTTTAAAAAATATTTGTTAATGTTTTGAACATATTAATAAGAAAAGTACAACTTTTATATGAAATGGATAGTGTATATTCAAATAAAAATTAATCTACTTTTATAAATTAATGACAATAGAAAAGTCTTAATCTAAACTAATTTAATACATATTAAGTTACCTTACCGAATTAGTTCTTTGAATTTATATTAAAAAGTGAAAATAAAAGTAATTAAAATTTGATTTTTTGGTTGGGTTTTTTGTTGTATGGGCGGTTTTTGGTTTCGGTTTGGTCGGTTTTAGTTTATGATCGATTCGGTTCGGTTCGGTCAGTTTTCACCAATGTTAAAAAAATCAATTTTTTAAACCGAAATCGACTATTGCTCAGCCCTAGCTTTGATTCTATATTGAAAGTAGTTTTTTTTGACGGAATGTGGCTCCCACATACTCACACCTAATATAGATTTTAAATATATGAACAAAGGATTGAGAAGCAAATCAGATTATGTGTTGGAATGGATGTAGATTGGATATACATACCTTTAATTTGCTCCCTTTATTTATTTATTTATTTATTGAGTAATGCTTGATTTTCAAACAGTTTGGACACAAATTACACAAATGTGCTATTTATACGTTTTTCTAAATGAATACAATAATTTTAAATTGGTTAAAAATAAAAATCTAATTACACGAATAGTAAATTTTTAAAGTTTGTGTCCAAATTGTTTGTAACTCTAACACTACTCTTACTTATTTATCTTTCTATTCCATTCAAATTAAATGGGGCCACCAAGTATTTAATTGGGTTAAGAGGTTAAGTGATACTCCCTATTTATTAATTGTCTTATATCCACTAATCTTATTTATCTTTCTTTTTTTTCTTTTATATGTAAATCAAACCTATTCTATTTTGCTATTTCGAATTTCAAAAGTCAATTATTTCATTCAAAGTTTCTTCGAACCTTTTTCTTTCAGATAAATATTTGTATGAATCCCATATAAAAACATCAACATTCTCACAATCTCACTTAAACAAATAAGTATCATAAACACAATCATTAATTTTTCATTTTTTTTAATTTGCTTATGTGAAAAAAAAATCTATAATTAACTAAAGGTCCATGAAAAGAAGAACTTTTTCAAATGTCTCAACATATACTCCCTCGGTCCCTAAATATTTGTCACACTTGTATTCCCGAGACAAAATATCAAGTTTTTTTTGAATTCACTTTATTTACATATTGGTATGGAAATAAAAAATAAAATTTACATATCAAAAAACTATATGAAAAGTTTTTCGAAATAAGAGGTGTCAGGAATATTTTATTTTATCAAATAACCAATAAAAACGTAGAAATAAACAAAAGTTTCCGCGACTGCTGAAAAAGCAAATGTTGTGAATATTTTGGGTGGGAGGGAGTATAAAAAAACCTTAAAGTTTAGTGGTAATTATTACATTTGAAAGTCGTTGAGATTAGGCGATTAAGCTTTGAATTAGACAATTCGAATCTGCCACCACTTTGGGACTCGTTTGGCGCATCATCCAAAACACTGCTCATATCAATTCCGGTCTCTCTTCCCAGGCTTTCAATATCCTCCGGGCTGCTTATGATCTTATCGAAGCAAATGTATCTCCCAAACGCGGTGCTATTATTCATCTCCTCGTACACCGCCACGTGCGCCTTTGCTAATGTGTTTACGTCCACTGTGGCAAGCACCCCTTTCCTATATATCTCTTTTGCTCCTAATTTCAACCAAAATAATTTTATACTCCCTCCGTTTCGGAGTTTTCGTCCAGTTTTGACTTTAAGAATTGTTCATCTAAGCATTTTGACTCATCAAATTCTCTCAATGTATAAGCCTAAATATAGTCATGTGTGATCTTATTTGATTTGTCTTAACATATAGATTATTAATATATAACTTCTATAATTTTTTAATATACAAATTACAAGATAAAATGGATTAAAGAAATATATTGAATGGTGTTTAAAAATGAAAGTGGACAAATACTCTCGGACGGATGTAGTATATCCAAACACTTTTATTGAATGTGAGTACAATTAAAATATATACAAACATTAAAAAAAGTAACATTTTACTTTAAAAATCATATAAAATTGGACAAAAAAGAGTGGTGTAAATGAGCATTTGAAATATACATAAATACACGGGACCACGAGAATGAATCAATGTGAATAACGTGCAGAATCTCGCCTATTATTAAATATAAATAAAATCATATATTGGTACCAAGTAAAAACAATATAAATAACATAGTCCAAATCATTAAAAGTTTTACAAAACAAGACGTGACAAAAATATTTTATTTTATTAAACGATTAACAAAAAACACAGGTAAATAATAGTGGTCAAAAGATTGTAATAATAAATTGAAAGTTTATTTAGAGACGGAGTGAGTAAAATTTCATATATGTAAGTTTTATTTTTAATTATATAAATAAAATCATTTTATGAATCACAGATTTTTACACGTGGTTTGAAAAGGAAGGTAAATTTGGAATTTTTTACTCCTTTTGTCCCCATTTTCATTACAATTTTTTTCTCCCTTCTCTGGAAAACTTTTATTTATTTGCATAATTTCATTAAGTATTTTATAAAATAAAGCATTCTTGTCACCTCTTATTTTATAGAACTTTTACATAGTTTTTTAATAAATACTTCAGTAATTTTTATTTCTTATTGATACATCAATTTGTAAATAAAATAATTTTAAAAAAAATTCTATTTGTAATCAAATTGGGTACGGAAAAAGTGTACCTTTGAGGTATGCAATGGTGGAAGTTGAATTCCTATTACAAAAGTGGGGCCCGGTGATGAGGCCGGAGCAAATGGTGGCAAGCTTCAACCCATTCCCCCGATGAGCTATTATTTCCCATGCTGCCCTTTCCGCCTTTACCTTCCCCAACGCGTACCAAAGCTGCATTAAAAATAAAACACCTTTAAAAAAAAAAAACATTACCATGACGCCATTAACAACAACAAAAAAACTTTGATACCAATCAATTGAGTTACGTTCACTAATGAAAACGAATGATTTTAAACACGGACCGGAGGTCAGGTCGACCCGGCGGGAGGATGGGTCCCGGGTCAATTCAGGTTTTTTCGGGTTGATCCAGTTTTTCCCGAGTTTTTCCGGGTTTGGGGGGGTAGGACCGAACCGGTTGTGTGTCCGAGTCGCGGGGTCAGACCGCCCGGTCCGGTCCGAGTTTAATAACAGTCGTTACATAGTAAAGTTATAACACTAGTAGGGGCAATCGTTGTATACTAGTCCGTTGGTTCAAACCGGAGGTTGGGGTTTCTTGTGGTGGGGCCGCTATGCGATGGACCGACTAGTATATAAAAAATTTATCCTCCAATTTCTTTTAAGCATAGATCTTTTGCAAATATCAGATAGGGATATATTTTTTAACACTAATTTATAATCAAATACGGAGTATCAATTTATTTATTCTCTGTGACCCTTTGGCCTCGGGACTGATAGAACCTTTACACTATGTTTGGCTCAAGGAATTTGGTAGAAAAGAAAAGAAAATGGTTTTCCCTCATTTTCCTCACCAAAATGAGAGGAATTTGGTTTTCCTTTCTCTTAGTACATTTTGCGTTATCTTTTTCTTTTGTCTCCACTTTTCTTTTCTTTTCCTCTTTAACCAAACAAGAAAAATGTTTTCCTTCTCATTTTCTTTTTTCTTTCCGTCTCAAATTCCATGAACCAAAAATAATATTAGAGATTGGGCTCAAGTTCTTAATCATGGGAGAGAGAGGGAGGAGAGCTTAAACCCACCTACCAAAATGGGCTCTCTAAGTCACCCAAAAGGGTAGATAGCCAATAATGTTGAGGATAAGAAGTGGTGGGGTGGTACAAAACTTGAAAGACAAGATTTTAATTTTTGACTTTTTCGGTAAAAATTAATAAATTTTGAATTCAAACTAGATAAAAATGATACTCTCTTCGTCCTATATCTTTCTTTCCGTTGCGCAAAACGAAGAAAAATCTCAAGTTTTTTTAATCTATTTTATTTAAATATTGGTATAGAAATAAAAAATAAAACATACTCCCTCCGTCCTAACAAGAATGGGACGGTTTGACTTTTTGGGAAATTAAGGGAGGGATATTTTGGTATTAACTTTTCAAAAATACCCTTGATGTGATGGATAAAAATAGGATGTGATGTGTAGATTATTACTACCTCCGTCCCATTTTAAATTGCCTGTTTGCATTTTTCTCCGTCCCAAAATAAGTTGCCTGTTAGTTATTTTCGTAAACTTTTAAAAATAAAATAACTAAACTACCTATAAAATAAGTCAATCTTGTCCAAATTATATTCTCATTCATTATCATCTCTCCTAAAAAGTATTGATAATTTCGAAAAATCAACTCTATTTTTAATTTTCCTTAAATATGCCCAAAAGTCAAAAGGGACAATTTAAAACGATGTGATAGGTAGGGTATGAAAAAGTAAGGGGTAAACGTGGTTTTTTAATAGAAATGTAATAGACTTTACGGGACGCAGTTTTTTCTAAACGTAACAAATTTTTTGGGATGGAAGGAGTACATATTTAAAACTACATCAAAAGTTCAACAAAACAAGTGTTGACAAGAATATTTTATTTTATCATATAGGCCATGAAAAAACACAAATAAATATAAATTCACGTAAAGTTGGAATAGTGTTCTGGGAAGATAGTTTTAGTACAGAGGGAGTATTAGATATTAATACAAAAATAATTTATTAGATTTATTATATCAAATATTTTCAAAAAATTATTCTAGGTAATTAAAATACAATGTATATTTTATTAAATTATATGTCAAAGATTGAAAATAATTAATTTAAAAAAGTCAAAACTGAACAAATACTTAAAGATGAAAATAGTACCTTTTTGGCAGTGCAAAAGGACTCATCACTCCAGCTGTCATGATCTATTTTGTGTGGGGAAGAGTGGTTGAGAGGGGCATTATGGTCTTTCCAAACACATGCGAGCAGAGAGGATGTGAGCACGCAGTATCTCACGGACGTGGCACGTGCACATGCCTCCACCACATTCTTGCTCGTCACCACTTCCACTTCCGCCATTGATTTCTGCATTTCATTCAAGCTATATTATTACTCCCTCTTCTAAAAATGTTTCCCAAATTATTAAAAATGAAATCTAATTTTAAGTATTCTCAATTTATTTTGTTTTAGAATTAGTACAAAAATAAAAAAACAAAATTTAGCGTTAAGAGTTTTTTTTCAAATAACAAGTTACAAACATTTGTATCTTAATATATCGATGAAACCTACCAGTAATTTGATTATAATTTTTCTCTCTCATTTCGATAATTTTTGTTTGTTTACGTGATTTCATTAAATATTTGATAAAATAAAATATTTTTGTCACTTTTTATTTTGTATAACTTTTGACATAGTTTTTAAATATGTAATTTTTATTTCTTATTGATATACAGATTTATAAATAAAATAATTTTAAAAAGTAAGATATTTCTCTCTGTAAATCCTAATTTGTAATCAAATTAGGGACGGAGAGAGTAACATTCACCTTTATTTTGGGACAAATCGACAAAAACATAGAGTTTTGTAAAAAGGCTAAAAAAAGCAAGAAAACAAAAAGTGCCCATCATCCACTCTTTTGGTTTGTACCATAAAATTCTTTTATCCTCGTAATAAGTTCTCTCTATATGTCTTTTATTTTTCACAAAGGATGATTATTTTAAAAGAGACATGTTGCATTTAGAAGGAGTCTCCGTGTTAGTAATTTGAAAAAACTATCATGAAACACAAAGTTTAGTTGTTAAGAAAAAATAATTTGGAAAACTTAGTTGTCCATAAATATTTGGTTGTAGTAAAAACTACGGAGTACATTTTAAAACATATTTGATCTATTGTATTTTAAATAATAAAACATTATTTAACACATATAGAATAAAAAATACAAAAACGACAAGAAAATCGAATACAAAATTAATCAAAAAAAATTAACACAACAGGCTGAGCACAACATGTAAAAAGTGGACATTAAACAATGGTGGTGCCCGTGGCAGTGGAAAGACATTTTCCAAACAAGACCTATAAATTTTCCAATCTTTTAACCAAATAATAAAATTTAAATTTAGTTTCTCAAAAACATATCTCACAAAGCATTTTTTAGAAATCATTTTTCATCTTTTCAAACACGTGCTTAATGAAAAATAAAGAAAGTGAAAGAGAGGAAGTGAAAGATCCTTTCAAGTCAACACAAGTTTTATGAGGCCGCACTTGACTAGTTGGTAGTCTTGGCATAGAACACATTTGGTTGCTAATAGTAATAATTACGGAGTACATTAATTAGATTGAAGGAAAATAAGTGTATTCAATAACAATGTATTTTCTCGAATAAGTCCCTTTTTATTTGTTTCTCATATATCTTAGACAGTATGAAGGATATATTTGGAGGACCATGCTAGGGTGCCACCACATGAGTGCTACTATGGGTGCACCCATGCTTCGCACAGACAAACACAGACGATAATTGTCTGTGTCGCACAGACAATTATCGTCTGTGTTTGTTTGTGCGAAGCATGAGTGCACCCATGGTAGCACAAATGTGGTGGCACCCTAGCATTTTCCATACTTGGAGTGCTAAGGTCTACATTTAAAATATGGTTCTTCTCACATTTTTATAGACTTGCATGTTAAATTTTCTATTTTGCAAAGGCCTACTTCTTTTATGTTCTAAATACACTAAGATCCATAAAATGAGCAGGAACCTTAGCCCTTAGGCACACGAAAGAATTTGCCTACTTGAAAAGTACCGAGTATATCTTAGAGAGTAATATTAAGTATTCATATTTATGATAAATATTGTGTTTTAGTTACTTTCTATTTGGTTGTGTTAGAAGTGTCTCGTTTATACAATTTACTATACATTTCAAAATTTAATGAACAATATTATTATTCTAATAATCCAAGAGTATATTTTCCTTCTACTCCTTAAACTCTGTAATAATCCAAAAAGATTTCATTTTTTTTTTTGTTTTTCCAAAATAAAAGTTCATTTTTGTTTTTAAATTTTTTTTGGACAAATGTTTGTAATTCAAATGTTTCTATTCAATTTCATTTTTCTTTCTTGGTTTCAATGGCGAGTCAAAAATGAAATTGGTAGAATAAAAAAGAAAAAAGAGAGAGTGGGAGAGAATAATAAAGAGAGAGGAACTGACAGAGTAGCCAGAGAGGCCGGCGGGGTCGACGAAAGCAGCGGTGTGGATTAAGCCACGACAGCCGACGAGAGCCTCCGATAAGCTCTCCACCGCAGCGGATGTCGCCATCACTGCCTCCGCCACGTTGCCGCCGTTCCAGCCCCTCATTTCACCCGATTCTTCCATTTCCCTCACCTTCTCCAACTCCTCTGCAACCACACAAATTCCATAATCATATCTGTAGATAGGGACCATTTGTTACAATTTTATACTCCCTAAGGCCCAATTTTAGTTACAATTTTTTTCTATCCTCTCGATAACTTTGTTTATTTTTATGTTTTCATTGATTTTTTGAAAAAATAAAATATTCTTGTCACCAATTGTTTTGTGGAGTGTTTGACATAGTTTTTTAATATGTAATTTTTATTTTTTATCATTATACTAATTTGTAAATGAAATAATTTTAAATGATGCAAAATTTTGCATCGTAAATCCTAATTTATAATTAAATTTGGAAGGAAGAGAGTATTACTACACAAATATGTAAATAAAACAAAATGAAACTCTATAAAATTTTACTTTAATTTACATAAAATGCAATTCATAGAGTGTATTTCTAACTCCATCCATCCCATAGAAATAATAGAGAGTAAGCAATTAGGAAAAGGTTGGGAGAGAATAAAATCAAGAAATATTTGCACAAAATAACACTAAAACTTAATTCATTTCTCTAAATAGCACTTAAATTATTTTATTTTCTAAATAGTACTTAATAATGTCCATAATGACCAGTGATGACAAATATTTACTTGAATAATGACTAATGGATAATGACTAAAAGTGCTACATTGGGAAAAAAATACATGTAGTGCTATTTAGGGAAAGTCATTATGTTTTAGTGCTATTTACGTAAATTCCTCATAAATCAATGTTTAGTTTTTGTGTGATTATCATAACACTTTCCCCTTAAGACCATCTAAACTACTCGTTCCACGTAATAATTTCTGAAACTCTTACAACCCACTTTTTAAAAAATACTCTCTCCGTTCCAAATCATTTGTCACATTTCTGTTGCCGAGGTAAAATTTTAAGTTTTTTCAATTCATTTTATTTACATATTGATAAAGAAATAAAAAATAAAAATTACATATCAAAAAACTACATGAAAATTCTTCGAAATAAGAGGTGTCAAGAATATTTTATTTTATCAAATAACTAATGAAAACGTAAAAATAAATAATAGTTCTCGCAACTGTTAAAAAAACAAATGTAATAAATCATCTGGGAGGGAGGGAGTAAATGTATGCATGTAAGTCTCAAAATGGATCTACAATCATAAACTTACGTTTTTTGTTTGTTTTGCGGTTTTTTTTGAATTGGTTACTTGAGAAAAAAACATCCTCTCATGCGGTGAGGCTGCTGGGGGATGATTATGATATGAGTGACGCTAGAGGTACATCAAAATGTGTACCTCATTTATACACTATTGATCATGATTATTGATTTATTATTTATTTTTAAAAAAAATTCACGCGTGAGATTGTGTATTGGAGATGGAGTTATGTAAATTTGGGGTTCACTTTTTCGTGTACCCACCATTTTCTTATGATAAACACAATTTGCACAATCTTAATGAAATTACGAACCACTAATAATTGGTGTGGTGGCTATTTAATAAGGAATATGATTGATTTAACTTATCAATTATCATGAGGATGTTGCTACACTTACTTTTATTATTATTGGTTAAGTAGACTATTTTATCAATAAAAATTCATAAAAAAGGATATTAGATGTCAGCCAATTTTTAGTGACAAATTATTCTGTTTTACATAAATAAATCAAATATAATCATGATAAAAGTGGATATAGCCATATAGGACATGTTTGAGAATAACGTTCGCGTTAGACTTTTGAAAAAGTTATCTACAGACATCATTTAGTGTTACCGTTTTCAAAATAATCTGCACCGTTAAAACTTTATCCAAAACGTTAACATTAATCTGTAACACTATTCTCAAACAAGTCCATAAAGATATAGAAATACAAGTTTTTCCCAAATCTTAAATGCTTGGTGGGGCTATTAACGTTTCCGAAATTTAGGTGTGCATTTATATGCAAGTTATGCTACATTGTTTTGGGGGTGCAAACTTGGCCTTAAACTACACCACTAATTTTGATGGGAAGGAGGAAATAAGGCTTTATCAAATGTGGAAAATTACATGCAATCTCTCTATCAATTGTCCAATTTTTTTAGAAACATTGTTTTCAATTAGAGTCAGGCTCCGTTTGATGCACTGAATTCAAATTATGCAATTAGAATTATGAACACAAATTCTAATTTTGCTCTTTGGTAACACACAAAAATGTAGATTTGAAATTGTTAGTGCTCCGGGGAAATTGAAGGGGGTGGGGTGTGTGTTCGGGTCGGGGCCGGGTTGGGGGGTTTACCGGGAGGGTTAGGGGGGGTGGAACCTTCAATTTTACGAACGGGACACCGGAGCGCTCTCGAGTCATCCCATGACATTAAGGTTCAATGTCACTTGAACCTTGGTGATAGAATCGGATTGGTTGGAGAATTAGAAACAAATCCCCCGGTGAAATAAATAATAAATAATGCCAAAATAGCTAAATAAATAATTAGAAAATAAATCAAATCATATAAATAACAAAAAATACTAATATTAACAAAAAATGTATACTAATAAAACAAAAATAATAATAATAAAACTAATAATAAATACTGATAATACCTCCCCTCTTTTTTCTATTCCCTCATATCCATTCCTTCTACTTCTTTCCCTTCCAACCAAACATACCCTAAATTGCACGGAGTCGGGAAGAAAGTACTAACTTTTTCAAATATAATGCTCCCCTGCCCCGAAATGAATACTATTGTCACTAATACGTCTTTCGATAATTTTTGCTTGTTTGCATATTTTAATTAATAATATGATAAAATAAAATATTCTTGTCATATCTTAATTTGAGGGAATATAAAGAAAGGAGCATTTAAAGAATAAATCTTAATTAGTACTCCTTCCGTCCCAAATTATAATGCCTGTTTACTATTCACAGGGTCAAACTTCATTCACTTTCTTTCTCTATTTTCGTTAGCAATTTGATAAAATAAAATATTATTGTCACTACTAGTTTTGTAGATCTTTTGATGTAGTTTTTTGATATGTAATTTTTATTTTTTAATTCTATACCATTAGTCATATAAAATGGTTTGAAAATAATTTCAGTCAAACATCGTAAACCGAAACAGGCGTTATAAATTGGGACGGAGGTAGTATAAAGTTTTCATGCAGAGAATTACGGAGTGTAACTAGAACTATTTAGAAAAAAACACATCATTAAATTGACTCATTTTGAGAATAAACTCAAAGACTTAGAATTATACCTACCTAAACTAGTCCAAAAATGTCTTCAAGAGACAAGAAAAGAAAAGAAGAGTTTCAACTTTCAAGTCTTGCAAGGATTGACGTTAAAGAGAGTGATTTTCCTAATTTATCAACCCTCCTAAAGAGAGTGATTTTCCTAATTTCTCATTTGACTAGTAAGAATTTGTAAACTTTAATTTCAATGTGTGAAAATATATATTTCGTCTTGATATAAATGTAATTTAAATAGTTTATTTTGGAATAAGAGTTTTGAAATATTAAATACTTATAAAATATATTTGTGTAAAAACAGAATATAAAGATTAATGATCAAAATGTCACGTGACAGGCAATGAAAAGTCCAATGAAAGGATATTTCCTAGGCAAATTGTGCTTTCATGATCTTAAACTCATCGATGTGAACTTTCTCATATATTCTTACGTGGGATCTTTTATTCTTTTCAGAAAATCCAATTCTTCGAAGACATTTATATTAAAAAATCTATAAAATGAACATGAACTCCGGGAAAATGGAAAAGGGAGTAAGGGGAGAAAAGGCGCGCACCTTCGTTGTCGACGAGGATCCGAACGGAGTAGCCACGGAGAAGGAGCTGGTTCACAATTGCGATTCCGGCGAAGGAAACGCCTCCGGTAACGCCAACCAGTCTATCATTTTGCTCCGGCGGAAAAACCGGCCGGCCGGATAATTTGAAGAACCCTTCTTCTTTTCTCCGGTTAGCGCCGGCGCACGATAGCAGCGTCCGCCGGAGCTCCTCCATCTCCATCTTCCGGCTCTTATCCGGTCCCACGATTCCCATTTCTGATTTATTTTTTTTGGCCTTCTTCTTCTAGACGTTTTATTTCTCAATAATAATAAAAACACCTCCGGGCAGAGCAACGACATTTATAGTACTCTCCTTTACAAACTACAATAACTAAATGATTAATGCTTAGGGACCCCACTTTTTTTTTTTTTAATAATGTTGGTTGTGTACGAACACAAAACACTTCTTATTCTTTCTATAATTCATCTAAAATATATTCTATTGATTTTAATTCTCTCTACAAGTTCTCTCTTCATAATTTGATCATAAAGAACAATGAATTTGTCATTTGTCATTACAACCAAGACGAGGAGGTGCATATGTACGAAGAAATCGAAGAAGAAAAGAAACGAATAAACCGTTAAAAAATTCGAAGCCGAGAGATTCATAATGCACCAACGGTGGATTTGGTCGAAGATATCTTTAGTCGCTCAAATAATCAGTAATTTGTTCGTAGTGTAATTTTTTATGGATGTAATTTTTTTACTTAATGAATGTAATTTTTTTAATGAATGTTATTTTTTGAATGAACTATTCTCGTTTCAATTAAATTAAATAATGACTTCACAGGTATTTCCAATGCTCTTAGAAAGAGATGAAGTTAAACATACACTCAGAATTATGGTACATTTAACGTCGGTGGACGATGCGGAGTTGGCAAATGTAATGAGTGCCAAGACGGTAAGACCCAATTTCAATTCTTGTCAATTGCATTTGGCTTCACTCTTTGCCAACAATATGCAATCGAAGTTCAATTTACCTTTTCTCATTAACCGTCGGGTCAGGTGTTTGAGACTCTCGAAACTCGAAAGTGAGGCTTATCATTTTTTTATGGTATACTTGACATTTTTCTAAATAAATACTCCCTTTGTTCCATGTGTACTATACATTGAAAAGTGAATGAATGTAAACATATTTTATGTCTACATGGAATTAAATTGACTACTAAAAATATTTATTAGACCGTCAATATGAAATGAAATGACTAGTCTATATGTCTCACTAAATGTTTTATGGAGTACAAATAAGTTTTCATAGATTTTGAAAAAGGCATTAAATTTTTTTAGTAATAATTCACTCTGTATATAGATAATAAGGACAAATTCTTATGTAGACCTAAGGTTCATGCTCATTATATAGATTTTAGTGCATTTGAAGTATAAAAAAGGCGGGCTTTTAGAAAAAATATACTACCTCCGTCCCACTCTTTTTGTCCACTTTTGACTTTTGGAACTGTTAATCTAAGTACTTTGACTCATCAAATTCTCTCAATGTGTAAGCCTAAATATAGTCATGTGTGATCTTGTTTGATTTGTCTTAACATATAGATTATTAATATATAATTTTTATAATTTTTTAATATACAAATTACAAGATAAAATAGATTAAAGAAATGCATTGGATGATATGCCAAAAGGTGAGTGGACAAAGAGAGTGGGACGGAGGGAGTAATAAATATCCACATGCAAGTCTATGAAAAATGTAAGAAGGTCTACATTTTAAATGTAGACTTTCAGACTATGTAAGCATTACTCATAGATAAGAGACAAAAATATTTTGAACTACAGATTTATTTATTACTAAAATATAATATAAAATAAATGTAACTTTCTTAAAACATCCGAAAAAGAAAATGTGAAACATTTTGTAATAATAAGAAAAAGCGAGTAAGGTAATTTTTATAATGAACTTTTTCAAAATTATACTCCCTCCGTCCCGGAAAACATGGAAGTTTTGGTTTTGGAGAGAGATTTAAGTGGAGTGTATTTTGATATTGAATTTCCAAAAATGTCCTTTGATATGATAGGTAAAAGTATGATTTGATGGATAGATTATTAGTAAAAAGGTATGATGTGATAGGTAAAAGTATGAAAAAGTAAGGGGTAAAAGTGACTTTTTAATAGAAATGAGAAGTGTTTTTTGGGACGGATGAAAAAAGAAAGGAGAAAGATTTTCTGACATTGAATAAACTTTCAAAATAGTGGTGAGCAAACCAAACCACCTCATTTCAAAGTGCAATAAACGACACTCCGTATCAAACACTATCAGCAAATCTTGCAAGATTTAAAAAGAGTGGGGCAAAAAAAAAAGATTATAAAATGTAACCTTTTGACGTTCATATTAAAACTCAAAGTATAACAAATCATGTAATCTCTTTTGAGAAGGATAATTTTAGATCTAATATTTGGTTGGTATAAATAGTGGAGGGGCTATCTTACACCAACCACTTATAGTCTCACAACAAAAAATTGGTTGTAACTATAGTCCTAATCTCCTTAATAAATCTCTCCACTCGTCCAATGCGATCAAAATTTTAAAATACTGTAATTGAATTGTTGTAAGAATCTTACACCAATTATTTGGTGTAAGATTGCCCTCCACTATTTTAAGAAAAATGTTTTCTTTCGATAATCAATCGTATATAATGGAGTAGAATTTTTAATATAGTTTTAGAGTATTTGCAATACTCCCTCTATACATAATTATCTTTTTACTTCTTTTCTGGATTATATCTTAACCGTCCCTCAAAACTATCAAGTCATCAATTCAACCAAAACACTGTTCCAGCCTTATACATAAAACTTTAATTTTTTAAGAACAATGTTGCGTTCACAAACATGATTGGTCACAAACTCCACAAACTTACTATTTATGGTTTAAATTCTCATTTTAAAATTATTTTAGAGTATTTAATTTTTTTTTATAGAAGTAAGTTTGTGAAGTTTGTGATGATTGTGTTTGTGAACCAACATTTCCTATTTTTTAATGTATGCGACATAGAGTTTCGAACAAATGACATCTTAGTAAGGGAGACTTTGATACCATGTTCAGCTCAACAGAAAGCTTGATTTTTTATCTGATTGTATGTCGAGAAAAAAATTATATACTTCATATATTATACGGAGTATCATACAAAGTATATCTTTTTGGCAATGCTAAATCGATGATCAAAGGGAAAAAGAATAAAGTAGGAATAAAATATTAAAAATATACTAAAATAGGATTTTCAATTTTTATTAATGAAATAAAAGTTAAAATGCATATAGAGTGACAATTATGACGATATACATTATCAAAAAGTATTGTGAAAATATTTAATGTCATTTACTACAGTGTAAAACTCTTATTTTGGAAATAATAATATACTCCGGTATTTATTTTGGTATATTTTCTATATTTTACTCATATTTAAGGTGATTTCTCGTGATAATGGAGACTAGGATGAGGTGCGGGCTGCAGGGGTTTGAATGGTTAAAATGTAGGAACAATAATTTTACCAACCAATGGTGTGTTTGGTTGGGGGAGATATTTTACAGAATTTTTTTTTATTCTATTTGCATGCGTTTTAGTAGAAGGAAAACATTTTTTCTTGGAAAAATATTTTCCTTCAATGGAGGGAAATGAAGAAATTTTTTAATTCTCTTTCCGCTCCATCCCCCATGCACGCTCCCCCCTAGCCTACCTCCGTCCACCCCATTCACATTTCCCATCCGACCTACCCCCTCTCCCTCCCGGCCGCCACCCCTACTTCGGCCTCACGTAGATCTACCACCCTCATTTACTCCACCCCGCTATCCACACTCCTCACCTTTAATTTTACCCTCTCCGTGTCCAAAAAATAAAACAGAAAAGACTTTTTGGGACGGAGAGAGTTAAAAAGTACTCAAAGAAATTAGCATTACCCAAAGGTCTTACTTTTTCCGATTAGTTAGTTCCCCAACGAGGCCTCTGGTGTGAAGATTTTGTGTTAATGGATCAGAATATGATTATCTCATCGTTACCTTTTCCTGTTCCCCACAAGCAGTTCTCTCTCGACATTCAGGTTTTATAGGTTTTCATTTTCACAATTTCTCTTTTGTTTTTCCAGTTCTTAATTTTTGTTTTTTTTGGTATGCTCTGTTAGCTTTTAGCGGTGGGATTCATACATGTAAAGTTGTAAATCACAATTTGTTCTGCTTTTGATCAGGTTTAGGTTAATTTGAGGTTTGATTTGCATTTATGTATAAGAACGCATGCACACCACTTGTTTGATGTATTGTCTAGCATTCTTTTCTTGCGTCATACTCCTTAGTCCTAAAATAAGATTTATAATTCTAAGGATAAAATTATATATTTAAAAACTATGTGAAAAGTTCTGTACACAAGCAAGGACTTCACTACTTTATTTTATCAAGCAACTTATGAAATGTATAAAGAAAGAAGATATAGTTTAACTCAATAAATAGTGAACAAAAACATTATTTTGGCACGGAGACATTTTGGCTATCGTATCACAAAAAGTGCTGTTAGATTCGTCTCTATTTATATTTTCAAGATATCAACTTTTTTACTAATTTTGTAATAAATAATGAAATATGTTAATGGTCAAATTGTTAAAAATTCATAGGGAGTATGTCTTGCTAGAATTGAAGTCATACACTTATATACTCATGGCTCATCAGTTGTTTCCCTAATATTTATTTTCTTGTTTTGTTCTATGACTTCCAACAGGGGAATAAAACCGATTTCATCATATGTAGTTATGATGACCATTTTCTTGTGAGTTCTTAATCCCTTAACTAGGTTATCCTCATTGTTGTTGTTATTATATTTATTATTAGAGCTCAGTTCTTTTGACACTAAGGTTCAATATCATAATATGGCATTGGTCATTTGAGGACCCAATAGTGCTCCGTTCGACCCCGAACTGTGATTCTTAAATACCTCAATCCATCACAAACCCCCTAGCACTCCCATGTTGGTGGCAATCCACTGCCAAATATATGGGTTGCTGGGGGGGGTGGGGGGGGGGAGTGGGGGTAGATGAGTGTAACAATAATGGCATCGAATAGAACACTGTAGGGCCCGGGTGTCATATTATGACACTGGAGTTGAGTGTCCAAAGAATCCCAATGTTGTTGTTCTTATTTCGTAGTATTATTATTATCATTGTTGTTGTTGTTGTAATTGTGAGGTTTTCATAGGTTGTTTTGTTCTGAATATTCAGGTTATTGTAACTCAAATAGGAAGTATGGGCACCATACTGCATGCTAGGTTTGGATTACATCTTCTACTAAGTTGTTTTTGAA